TCTTCTGCAGCTGCATGTTGCTCGTGTGGCAGAGCACAAGTTCATGCCACTAGCTTCGACTTTTCAGCAGTGTCTGCTCTTTTCTGCTGTTGCAGTTTTGTTGTTTTAACGTGCTGTCAAATGTGACAAAATTAAGTTAACTGCCAACATTATCGCGCATGCAGCAAAACTTTGTAGCTGCTTTGCCCAACTTGTTTGCCTTGTAAACTGATTTGCTTTAATATAACCATTCTCTTTTTCTATTTTTTTGTGGCAAACAGTACTTATGTAATTTGCAATAAAATTAAATTCTTTGGAATTATGTAAATTGGCTTTCAAATCGTTTTGATTTATCGCAATTTGAACATGTTTAATTTATTGTTATTTCTCTATTTGTTGCATATATTTATGTTTTGCATCTGTTCCCTTCGATAATGCCCGTATTGATACAGCAAAATGTGCCCCACAATCGAAATGTGACACCATAAGAGTTCCAAATATCGCCTATCAGCGCATTGCATAATTTACGCTTCAATTCAATTGAATTGACTTTATATGCATTTGGCCTGGCCTGCTGCAGAGCCAAATCAACAGTTGCAAATGCCATTCGGACACGCACGCACACATACAAAAATCAACAAGTCAGCACCGCTGATGCGGGCCACGACATCGGTGGTTGTACTCTTTGCCATCGCGCTCATGCGCCACTGCATCGATAATAACAATTGAATATGTGCATATTGTGCAAAATGCGTATTAAGCGACTGGGACACACACATACACACATCAGAAACATACAGAACCATACATGAGGGTATGTTACGGATTGTCTAATCTCATTTAATCGCAGAACTTTATGAATTTATTTGGTATAACCACACCGAATGTAGGTTTGGCCACAAACTAGTCGACATTTGCTAAATTTTAAACGATTATTGAAGTTATCAAATATCCAAACATATTTTATACTCATAGTTAAGGCCAAGTTTAATGCCTGGTAGATAAATAAACTTGTTTTTATTCTGTGATATTTTTATAATTTAATAGTTTATGAATATTAAAAAACCCAAATCAATATAGCACATTACCTTAAGTCATCACGAAAGTTCAAATAACATTTAAGCCCATAATCCCTGAGAAAACAAATTCATTTATTCTATTTCCCTTTAAGTACCGGAGCTCTAGTTATTAAACTCTGTTTGTCTGATGATTGCAATTAAAATTTGTTATACCATAAAAAAAACTGTTCTTTTCACAATATTTTAGTTATGTTGCCAACTTGACGTATGCGCAACTTTCCAGCAGCGCAATTAATATTTAATTATCACACTTTCTATATTGAAAGCATTTTCAAGCAGTGCTTTCAGCTCGGAAAATCGAACTGAATTGAACATTGGAGCATAGACTGGCCATTGGATGCAAACGCTTGCTGACCCTTTGTGGCATTATCCTTTGTGCTCACTTAAGCGAGTCAAAGGGGGCACTTTGATCTACTCAACACATGCGGCTGACATTAAGTTGCCACAGCAACAGATATTGGACTTACCCGCACTCCACTCCCAACTCCCGCTCACTCTCACCCTCTCGATTCTCCGAACTGCGTGTGTGCGTATGTGTGTGTGTATGGTCACTAAGCCATAGCCTCCCGAGTGCCTCGGCACTTAAAGCATGCACATTACCGCTTTGACAGTCGCTGTTGATGCACTGATTGGTTGCTTACTCACACACACAAGCACACAGAAACACACATACACAGCCACACAAATTTTAGCTGTTCCTTTGAGCTCGTTTGCTGTTCGTATGTCCAATAATTAAACAATCAGTTAGTCATTCGGGCTGGAGGCCCTTGTGTCACTCAATTCAATATCCTCAACAGTTTTAAACGCTGCAATATTTCGAAAAACAATTAAATAGAAAATGAAGTTAGCGATTGAAGAGCGTTCAGTTCAGTTTGGAATATTTGAGTGTTCAATGATTAGGTTGGTCAAACCTAGAAATTAATTTATAATTTTATTAACCTTTATCTTTTCGCTTAGCTTTTTTACCGAAGATACTTATAACAGACACACGAATGTCTTTAGATTATCTATAAAATGCAGAAAATACAAAAGTAACATGATTGCTAATACACCAGGCCAATTATAGCCTAGGGCACGTTGTAGTTGTGGCTAAGTTTGGATTCAATTAAATTTTGAAGCATATCGCCAGCTGTTAAGCTTGTTGATTCCTACACAAAGTGAACCAAGTCCTATGATGTGTTGCACTTCCCTAACGTTTTCATTTCGAACTCAGCACACGGCTGCGGCTGTGGCTGCTGCCAATTTCAAAGCAATCGCCGGCAGCAGCCACATTTTTATACCCCGCATCCATTGAAAATGGTTAGAAAGGGTCTAATGGTTGTGTGACAATGTAACAGGCAGCAGAAGTTAAATCCAACCCCAAAAAATATGTAGATCAGAAAACCGAGCTGAGTCGATCTAGCTATGCCTGTCTGTGTGATCGAGTCGATCTTAAAAGCTAGAGTTTCGTAATTAAAAATCTACAATCTCCAAATCTCCCTCCAGAATATAGATAAATATATATTTTAAGACATGGTTATTTGACAACAAATGGTAGATTATAAGAACTAGACACACAAAACTTGGTTTGCAGGCTCTCGAATAGTATACCGACTAGGAATATTTTACTTTGGGAATATTTTTACCAAAAAGGAAAAAAAAACATTTATAATGCTAAAACCCGGCAAACTAAAATTTTCATAAGGAACGGACTTTGGATATCGAATTTGCTCAAAACTATATTATGCGTAGCTTGGGGCAAAGAGAAAAGATTGAACATGCGAGAATATTTACGGCGTTAGCTTGGAGCTGGTTTCAAGGTGTCTGCTAGTCGGGCACTCCCGACAAGAGCACTCTTACTTTTTTGCCAAATGCTTTTGGGTTACTTTTTTGTGCTACAGTGCCCGAAGTGAGCGCAAGTAGAGAGAGAGAGAGAGAAGCGAACCATTTCTGTGATGACTACGGATCGTTCGTTTGCCGTACAAATCAATTTATGGCTGACCAACGTTTAAACAATTTTTGTGCCGCTTTGTGCAATTGACGTGCCGATAATTACGCCTGGCCAGCATGTACGAGTGCGTTTGGTAACAACAAAAAAATGGCAAATAGAAAGAAAAATCGCCCCTCAGCCCTCAGTCCTCAGCTAAAAGTGGCAGTCCAAAAAGCGGACACACAAGTTGAGCATAGTCCTAGTATAAGTTAGTTGGCAGAAGAAAATCCATGCTGCAAAGTCAATTTTCTTGTTTATTTAAATTTCAAAGCGACAACACAAACTACAAAGCAAATGTCGCTGCTTGCCTCAGATTTGTGAGGGGCACATAAACTGGATTAAATTTCGTTTAAAATGTAAATGGAAAACGCTGGAAAAAAATGAAGAAAAGGTGATAGAGAACCGGAGCTGAATTATATACAAAATGTTGCCTTATGCGCAACATCAAAAACTAAACAAACACCTCATCAAAAACATCAAAGACAGCACACTTTTCGCCTAAACAGCCTGTGAAAAAGGGAACGAACAAAAAAAAAAGGCAAGAAATTGGCAAGAAAAAGCATTTTCTTGTGCAGCACGCAGAAAATAAAATCAAGCATTTCACACCTTATCAATTTTGTTAGATTATCAAACCGAAGAATGGCGCCAGCCAGCCTCGTGCTTGAAGGGGATGCCAAAAAGCTCTTAAATTGCATCATCATCAACTTGTGGCGCGGTGTCCTGTGTGGCCCAATGCTCGAGCTGATGCCATTGATGACGTCGTGCTCCTTGTCGTCGTTGTCGTCTTCGTGGTCGTCGTGATTGTTGTCATCATCATCGTTGCCACACTGTCATTAAGGAAGTCAAAAACTTAGACCCCAAAATGCGGGGCTGGCAAGCCAGGAAAGGGGCGACGACTGGATCTGGGTGGGGTGAGGGTGGGGGCTGTTTCTTGCTTTGTGTGACAGAAGCGTTGACATTTATTTTGATTTCAGGTCGAGTGCAACATGGCAGGGCGCCCGAGCAGGGACTGCCATCCGAGCTGGGACCCGGTCGTAAGTGCGTGCCCCAGCCACCGGCACCCCATCCCACGGAGATCCCTGTCTGCCTTTAACCTGTAGTCGTGCTCATGCTAATGTGCATTCAGCTTAGCTGCGTAAAAACCTGACAATGAGGGTTGCTGCCCTTTTTGTGACTTAGCCCAGTTCCGTTGTTGTTGTTGTTGTTGCTGTTGCTCTAGCATAAAAGCCACTAAATTGAATTTTATGTGACAGTGCCAAGTTTGATGTGTTCGTTTATTAATGGCTGCTGGAGCCCGGTCCACAGGCGTGGGGGTAATGATAGTAGCTGCGAACTCAAACTCAAACTCAAATAATTGATAGCTTTTGCACAGTCCCCAGCGCATTTAGTGGGGGTAATTGCAAGCCTTACACTTAAATGCTATGAAATATGGTTAACAAAAGTATTTCGCGAATGCCTTTTGTCAGCGCAAGTTACGTTTTCCAAATGCCAGCCATTTGCCAGGCCATGTCTGGCGAAGGGGCAGCGCATTCTCTGCATAACTTGTAGCAGCAACTAGACGAGCATATGTAAAAAATGCCATAACACACACAGACACACACACACAGACAGCTGTGGTCGCCATAGGAGAATATAAAAATAAAGAAACGCTCCCAGCCAAGCTGCTAAATTGTGTGACCCTAAAAGTGTCCGGCAACACATAATGCCAAGTTTCAGTATGCTCCAGTATTCGCTATTGGGCAAATGGCATAGGACCATAGACTGCCTGCACTCGGTTTATGTGCCCACACATGCTTACACGCACACATATATACACACACACACGCGCAAACACAAATCTGACCATGTCCTTTTTATGCAGCCGCCGCGACCGGGCCAGCTCCAGCTGCTGGGAGTCGCCCGAATGGCCGCAAGGAATTTCACACAATTGCTAGAAAAATTGCAGAAAATTGAAAATGTGCGAGAGCGTATAAATTTTTACTGCGTCACTTGTAATGCTAAATTGTTGTTATTTATGGCTAGTTGCGTGTGACTCATGCCAACATTTGCCCACACTCCAGCTCTTAACTCCCTCGGTAGACTTCAGCACTTTCAGTGTTTTAGATTTCCATTTTTATGCCCTTGCAGACGGTATTCGAAAACTATAACGGCATGTGTCACGCATAGAAGCCATCTCGGAACTCATAATGTATATACATTCCTGATCAGTCTCAACGATATGCAAACAAGTCTCTCAGTTTAAATGTTATCGTTATGAAACATTGCAAAGGTCCGCCTCGCTATTGAAGATTGTGAATATTACGGAATAGGCCAGATCGGGTAACTATATTATATAGCTGGTTTTGCAAGAAATCTTGATCAAATTTAGTATTCAGAATCCTATCAACATCAACCCACAATATCGTATAGCTATATAGAAAGGTTCGTTGAAAAATAAGATTTTGAATGGGAAACGCTTCTGTATCTTTAAGATACTTTCACCAAGCAATCTCGATCCTTATTCAATTCTTTTGCCGTAACCAATATGTCTAGCAGGGTATTTAATATTTGGTATGCCGAATGTAGCTGTTCTTTCTCGTTTTTGTATCCGTTTTAAATTTTGTTTACTTAAAGCTATTTTGATTGAAGGTTTGAATTTCAGGAAGTCTTGACTTTATTGGCGCATATAAGCACTTTATTGCTCTCGGCAAGGAAAGGGCAATAAAGTGATTATATTAGCCAATTAGTCAGTCAGAGGGACAGAAGTCAGTCAGAGGGACGCTTAAATTTTCAGAAATCCTTTCCTTAGCACATGCAGGCCCGTGCAAGCGAATCTGTGCAAGATGCCACGTCCACTGGACGAGGTCAGGGATAAAACCATCAGATATACACCGAGCGAAAGTGCATATTTATTGTCCTCCATCCACTTGACCGTGTCATTCCAATTGACGACTAACTTGGGCTGACGCATCAGCGGGCTCTCAACCTTGGCAAAATTCTGGCCAAAGAACATTAGATACGAGATCTGCATGCAGCTGGCCTCTCTGATGGTCACAAGTCCATTATCATCATCCACAGAGACATGCGCGGGCACCACCACATATTCCACAACGGCCACGCATCTAAGCAGGGCGCCACAGCGTGAGCCGCCCCAGCCAGGACTTTGTGGACTGAGCTGGAGCGCTTCGTCTACATTCCTGGCCAGTACCAAGGGCTTGTCCATGGGCAGGCAGCCTACGGTCAGCATGGCATATAGCTTCTCCAGCTTGGCGCCGTAAAATCCTATCCGGACCGGACACTGTTCGCGCAGACTTGTGTATTCTTTAGTGTGTGCACATTTCAGACTCGGTGTGACCTCAAAGATCTGTGTGGGCGCCATGCGTGGCGTCCCAATCTGCAGATGCGTATACAGATCTTCGAACTCACATGGTCGCAGTGTGCTCAATGCCACACGCTCGCCGTGTCGCACCAGAACAGCGTGCAAGAGATTCATCACTTTTACATGATAGCGTCTGTAGTTGCCATTTATTAGCTGGGCAAGAATGGTTTCCAGTCGATCAACGTCGGCAATGGTATCGAAGATCGCATTAATGTCCGGACGCTGATTGCTGTCGAGAAACTCCTTGGGGAAGGGCCGCAGCAGCGACTCGTACATATAGCTGGTGGAAGCCGCCACAAAGAGCGAGAAGCGCACGTCGCAGGCTAGCAGATCGGATTGCAGGCGTTCCTGCACCTGATAGAACTGTTGCAAATTTTTGGTGGGCTCAGCGGGACACGGCACACAGAAGTCTGAATCATTTGTGTGATTCGGGATGCTTGGCAGGCTGGGTAAGCCGGGTAAGCCGGCGCCATCAGAATTGTCCAGATACGAAACTAGCTTCATGTCCAAGGGTTGCGGAATATTGATGCGCGAAGGAAACGAACCGATCTGTTGTAAAATCTACAGGGTACAATGCACTTGCTTTTATTGAAAGCGTAAATTTATTTGACTCCGATAGTTTTCCAAAATCTGCTACAATGACATTTGGAAATAAAAAGCTCCGCTTTTCCCCCAGGTGCCTGGTGCTCGTTGCCAGCTGAGATTGACGATTGTTCTTGGTTATTTTTATTTGCTAGCCTTTTTTTTTTTGGTTTTTTGTGCAGATTGAATTTAGACACTTCTGTGACATGTTGTGATTGTCGGCATGGCGTACGCACTGCACGGCGCGCTCTGCTTGCCGTTGGAGGGTGTGTCTGTAATTGATTAATGGAGCCGATGCACGACGCGTAGCTTATGTCAGCTTGCATGTTTACAGCGACGCCAGCGACAGGCCAAAGGGCAATCAATTGGACCGCATTGAGTTATGGTTGGGCATGAAAGCCACCACCATCAGCAACAGCCGTCAGTGCGCCCGTCCATAGCTGGTCAGCAATAGACCAAGGGCTGGGCAGGGGTTGGCTGAGCTTCTTGATCAGCAACAATTTCATTTGCTGCATACACACACATGGATACATATAAGTAAGAAAGTGTGCGTGTGTATTCTGCATTTCAGCGACCGGCGCTTTATCTACTTTAAAAAAGTGCTGGCAGAAGGATGCGTAATTTATTGATATACTCTGCTTAAATTATGAGTCTCCTGGGGGGCGCGCGAGCGTACATTTTTTCGGTGCCTAGCTGCAGGTGTCGGTATAGAAATCAGTTAACCGAGAAAGTTTTGCAACTTTGTTGCCGCTTTTGCTGCCACTCTGCCAGCAGCTGCCCTGTGAAATCAGAAGTTTGAGTTTATTCAAATAAACGCCGACATTAAGAGAGTTGCAACTGTTGCGCTGGAGCTAGCCCCAGCTTCGACTCCGGCCCTGGCCATGGAGAGCTGGCCCGGTACAGCCAAGCGAAGCGGCATAAATCAGAGAGGCTGCTTCAGTTTCCAACTTTTTTCGTAGATAAACTTTTGACGCACCAAAAGCCACCACCTTTGCGTCATTTAACCCTCTTTTTTTGGTGCCTGAAAGCGTTATTAATATGCGCCCTTTTCCTTTTGCACTCTCTCTAGATACCACTGCCAATTCCCAGGGGCAGAACCACTAAATAATTGCCTGGCATATGCTCGAAATCGAAATTCTTTTCGTTTCGCATTCTTAAAAGTCTTAAAAGTCAAAAAATAAACATTTGCGCATTTAGCAGGTCTTTCTTTTCTTATAAGTATTCGACAGTCTATGCAAAGCTAAGCTTGGAAAGATGAAATTTAACTTTTAATTAGCCGATTTGAAACAAATACATTAACACATTCTTGGCCTCAACCTTAAAAGCTGGACAGAAAGAAATACGCTTTTAGGGATTCAACTATTCGGGTTATATAGATGCCATTATTGTGCAGCTCAAAGATCAGATTGCGTATTGGAACAGAATTCTGAAAGAAATTAAATGATATTAAAAGTCAATTGACTTAACCCATTAAATAATTTCACTTGTGTAGTCACGAATATTTACAAATATAACAAGACTAGGATGAGGTACATAAAAATCAAATGTTTGGAGTGAAACTTGCAAGAACGAATCGATTTTTTTTCTCATGCATTATCAATTTTAAATTGAAGAGGAATAATAGAAAATGAAGTGTTAAATTTGCTTTTCTATTCGAAACGCAAAAATTATCATACAATTAAAGCGTAATGATCTGCGATATATTAATATTGAGTAAACTAATTAAAATGTATACCCTGTAAAATGAAAATGATTTGTTCCAAAAGGCGACACATGCAGCTTTATTGAGTATATAAATTCTCAAACAATCGAGTTGCCTGTCCGCCCGTCTGCCCTTCCATATAAATTAATCGATCCACTGAATTCCACTGAATATCATATCTACGAGGTCGGAAAAGTCTTCTTATGCCTCTGCATACCCTTGCAAAGTTATGTTTTACGCCTCTTGCCAACTTTGTGGGTACAGGGTACAAAATAAATGTTAATTTATCTTGCCACAACAATTAGTTATCCGCGTGGCAGTTTCACTTGTTGTTAATTGCCATGAAATTAGATAGAAATATATGCTCGAGGCTGTTTGTCAATCAGCACAACGAATCAAGGATATTTTATTGCGATTTGCGAGTGCTTTTCACCCAAGCCAGAACATGCTCAGGTTTTCTATTTTCAATTATAGGCATTCCATTTGCGCCAAATCAATTGGCATATTTTCACACATAAACATAAATTGGCTTCGATGCCGGGCGCAGAGCATTAGGGAAAACAAACGCGTTCTGCTTTTTGCCATCTCGCCATTTCATAAATATAGTATGTGCCGCACGTAGGCCAGCTCAATTGCCAATTAGAAGAAGGAAAAAATGCCCGGGCACTTGGCAAGTCTGCTTTAAAATTGGGTCTTCGGGAGAAGTTCAGCGGCAAACTGGCGGAAGTTGATTTGTATACGAGTACATATGCTCGGGCCGCCAGTAAGAGATGTGCCACACGAAATAAGAAACACGAATCACTCGGAACGTAATAAAGCATTAGGCCCAATAAAATGCTACTATGAAATTTTTCTCACGTCTGCTTCGAAAATTATTAGGCATCCGCGGTCTGCCTAGTTCCAAGTGCTGTTTCCTTTGCCAACTCTCACACACCCGCACACACACACTTCAATAATTGTTTAAAGAAAATTTCAAATGTGCCTAGATCGAACCTTTTGAAATTCAAGTACGTGCCGGAGTTGAGCGCCATGGGGAATGGCAGCTGCTGTGACTCACCTGCAAATTGCTTAAGATTTTAGAGAACTTTGGCGTGCCGATGCTGTCGATGAGCCTGGAGAACTGTTGATCCGTTTCAATTTTATCGAAAAACGTAGCCAATATTTGATCCTGTGGCAGCACATCCAGCACGCTGTCGACCAGGCCATGCAGTCCATTCAGCTCCTTTGAGCTGGGCTCCCCATTGACGCCACCCAATGCTTCCACAGCTGCAAGCAAAATTTCAAATTCAATCTAATAACAGGCAAAATATTTAATTAAATGCACATGTCCAGCGCATAACTGGGACATCCCAGTACTCTATCCCAATATCTCCCAGCCCCCCAACCATCACCAACCCTTTCGTTTGGCCTTGTCTGCATAGTTTGCTCCAGGTGCAGTCGCTGGTCCAGCAGAGGCGAGCATGTGTGAACATTGATAAGGTTGCAGCAGACAGTTGTGTTGGACCATGACATTGAGCATAATGCCATGGTCGCATAGGCACAGACGGACAACGGACAAGGGACACTTGGATGACTTGGAAGTTATGCAGCAAGTTGTTTGTTTGTGCCATGTCATGGCCAGGACCTGGTCTGCGGCCCGGTCACTCATACGCACCGCTGACCGTTGTGCTGTCCATCGGCTCCAAGGCCGGCGTTGTGGTTGCTTTAGTAGCCTGCACCACGGTCTGTGCCAGCTTCATCACATCCAGCCCGCTGGCGTTCAGATGGCGCGTAAATGCCAGCACTTCGGGCAGCTGCAGTATTTGCTGTTTCATCTCCGCAAAGAACTCGCTGCTGAGAAAGGCATACGCACGCTGGACCTCTTTATCGTGGCGATAGTAATTGTCGGCTATGGCCTGCACCTGCCTAGCGGGTATTAGCGTCACAAATGCGCTCATATCAATGGGCGTCACGACTTCGGCAACAGTTGGTGGCGCCTCATCTAGTTCTTCGGAGGAAGAGGCGTCCTCCGTGTGTTTTGCTGCCGACATTTGTGTCGCAGTTTTGCGAGCCAGAAATATCAAATCGTCTGACACATTGGCCTCCCTGCTGCTGCTCGATGCGCTGTCTTCCTCGCTGGAGCTGCTCGAGCTAGGCGTGACCAGCGCCATTTTGGTGTCTGAGACTCCAACGTCGCCATCCTTGAGCAGCTCCTCAATTGTGGCCTGCGACTGTGGCGCGCCGCTGACCACCGCACAGATCGCGATCGCCACAAGCAGGCTCCCTTGGAGGCTCAGAGATGCGTCGCGTTGTCGTCTCATTTTGCTACTGGTTAAGTGAACTAAGAGCAGAGCTGCCTCCACAGCTGCCGAATGCGAGTGCGTTGTAGACTTCTGTAGACTTATTTATTGTGGGCGATTATTTAATTGAGCCATTCAGTGGGTTTTATTTACATGTTTATGTGCAATTTCAGTGGCGTTGCTTGTGTGTGACGCGAGCGATGTGCAATACAATTGACAGCTACCAGTTCCACACGGAATCATCTACGGGCAAGCATGCATATTTCATAATTTAATAGAAGCATTGATTTATATGCTGCTTATAAATTATGCTTATCTAGCTTATCAATGTCTGAAAAGACAATTCGATGCGGACAATAAAACCTAGCCTTAGGCAACTGATTGAAATTAAAGCAGCGATACATTTCCTGTCCAGCTTGAGTATGGATATGGATATGGATATATATATATATATGCTGACTATATCATTAAATACACTTCCGCATATGCAAATCAAAAGCAATTTACAAGAAAAACAAACCAAAGCGGGTGTGTGTGTGTGTATGTGTAAATCAGTCTGTGTGCCATTCACACTTTGACAGCTGTTGCTGTATCACTCAGTTAGTCACTGGCTGTCATTCATTCTGGCTTCAATTCGCTCGCACGTCAAACTGTGCATAAAATATCTGCTATAGAGGTATAAAGCACACACACCCGCACACACACCCGCACACACACATTCATCGAAAGGGAGAGTGTGCGAGTGGGCGTGGGAGAGTGGGAGACATTCAGGCTTGATATATTCATTCGTTCATTCAGCAAGTTAAGTAGGAATAAAATTGTCAATTTTCATGTCATTATTTCAACTTGTTGTTCACGGCGGGCGGCGCGTTCACTTTCGCATGTGACAAGCTGCGACTATGAAATGCACACACTCACACACACTCACCCACACACACACACACTCTCGCACAGTTATGATTTATTCACTTGGTTTGATTTATTACAAGCCTCTGCCTCTAACGATTTTAGCCCCAACCTAACAACAGTCTCAGTGTGTGTGTGTGTGTGTGTGTGTGTGTGTGTGTGTGTGTGTGTG